TCAATATCGATCAGTTAATGCGGGCCAAAAAGTTGACATCTGACGCAAGCATTAATCTGAGGCACAACATATATACTTTAAATTATCCCGGTACGTAATACGAAATTCTACCAACATTAGAATTAGTTTATTAAGTTCAAATCTAGGTATTTGTGTATAAAAGGCAGTTATTATTTTGATACGTACGTACACAAATAAGCATAATTACCAGGAAAAATGTAAGTGATAAGATTCTGTTGTGTCGTTTATTCATCCACAATTTTAATTTTGTAAATACTAAGGAATATTATAACCTGCTATGGACAGAACAAGCGACCAACGCCGTACAAGTTCACCTACTTATAATCGACCTCGGGATACAACACCATACCGTTCGAATTCTACTTATTCAGAAAGGGATAACTACTCAAGTTCTCACTATATACCTTCACGAAGCTATTCGCAAAATCCAGAATATTCAATGAGAGAACCTCCGCAAGGTATTCCTCGTTATGAGGGACGAGAAGAGGAATCACAACTGGCCTTCAGAGGGCAAGTGCCATATGTTAGTAACTCAAGAGATCTAAAGCCATATGGAAGGCCTCCACTACTACCTCCTCAATCTTATGATCGAAGACCACCTTATCGTGGTGGCACACCGTATAATATTCCGCACCCTCGTCAAAATGCTGGCGGACCACCACCCCATAATCACAGAGATTTTGGTGGACCACCATATAATCCTCCTTACTCAAGGGGAAGCCCAATTCAACATCACCCACCTTATCAAAGACCACCGTTTCACACATCTCCATTTCCCCCGGCCGCTCCAAGGCCTCCAAGCTCCCATCAGCCTTTGTTTCCATTAACTCCTACAAAGCCAACGCAAAATCCAATATCATATGCACCAGCATTGGAAGAAAAGGTATTTTTTAATGATCTGATTTTGGCAAGGATTAATTCTTTTAGTATAACAAAATTTTTGATAATATCAGATAGCACAATCTAAAGAAAGGTTCCAACAACTCAGGGAAGAAGAGTTCAAATTAACGGTTGATCTTCACAAAAGGCGTGGGGAATTGAACAAAGCAACGTGGGAACTAACTAAAGTCACACATAATACTGCATTGGCGTTACAGCAAATTGAAGTTCTTTATACACCAGAACAGATTGAGGCGCTTGTGAAAGAAGGAGAAGAGAATGCTGAAAGAGATGCTATGAAGAATCATTGTTAACATTAGGGTTACGACACAGATCTTTTTTTTGACTACATAGTTTTAGTTCGGGAGTCGGGATTTCTACTTGGGACCATAATCAAAACCAAAATATGTGTTCCATTTTCTATCAATAGTGTCAAACTCAAAAAATTAAATTTACATTCAATAATGTCATGTTAGAATTTTACATGGAGTAAATGTTAATCCAATCCGAGGATTGACAATTTTTAAAAATCGAAGTTAGAAATCCAATAAGAATGAAACGGTCATTTTAGAAATGAAACAAAGAAAGCAGATTCTACGAAATTAAGATCTGTCGACATTAGATCGATCAGGTGTAGATTATCCTTGTAAGGTACAATATACCTTTTACCACAAACAAACTGAAAGATAATTTCTACATAGAACTAATTCTTTAAATAACTTTCCACATAGACAAAACATTCACCCCTCCTGAGCTACTATTCACATGCGTCAGCATACACATTCACTACTTCCAGTCTTCTTTTGCCTATACCAGACTTACCGATATAGGCTCAAATTTATACTATCCTTAAAAACCTGCATCAAGCAAGATAACTACTTAAATTATAATATAAGCTATAAATAAACTGTACGTATGTGACCTACCATAAAGTCATCTATCCACTTCGTTGACAAGCTTGTCATTTTATTATGAAAATTGAATTATCTCGATCAAAGTAATACATAGTAAAATAGCTAAATTTTTTCTCCAATAAATCAAAGATTTTTATTTAATGAACTCATTTTTGCATATCTCATAACAAGGATATGCCTTCAGAATTATCCTTTAAAGTACCACATACTTTTTAAAAAGTGGGATCTTTATTAAAATTATTACAATATTCATTTAATTTAATATCAGGAGAATGTATGATGAATTATTCGTCAATAAATTATATTCAAATCAAAATTAACTCTTTAAAATTATCTCCATGATTTCTTTTGATATCCTTGGTTCACTAAGTAATTTAATTGTAACCGATACTTTCACACTTTGAAATTTACATAACCTACTGAACATAATATACAGTTGCGAATCTATCTTTTCTGATCTTTCCGATGCGTTTAAACTTTTATAGGAGTCCATAATAATTCTTTTTCAATCAAAATTTCTTTTACTGCACTTAAAATTTATTAATATTAGATGTTTTTAATAAGTACATATTAATAAGTTAATAATATTGGGGAGGATGCTAAAATTTGGATCTCAATTTAAAATATAAACCCTATAAAAATTTATCTATGTTATTACATTGGATAGATCTTAATTTCAGCTCGATTTTGTATCGTCATGCACCAATCTTTGATTTTATTCCAATCAATGATAAATGTTTCGGTACACCTCATCTCTATTGCGTTTCCATAATGAATAAATACACTTCAACACCAACTTTACTATGCCAATAACAATTGCCGAAACTATTCGTTACACCACTAGGTCGCGGTTCAGATTTTCAAAATTGCTTTATATATACCTTCCAATCCCATAATATATAATAAGTAAAGATGCTGGTGAAATAAAATTAGAGTGGTGAAATAATTTCACCACTATTGGCGAAATTGGTGTTGAATTGGTGAAATTGGTGAAATTAATTTCACCAGCATCTCCAATAATAAGGATGAAACGGAACTTAGTTGAGGGTATTTGAAAAAGTTGAAGAACTTACGTACATACGAATATGTTATTAGTTATATCTAATATAGATCAATATCGCCCTGATATAATCGTAACCAGTGTTGTACATTTGACTAACCTGAGCTCTTTTTAGTCTGTTCCGCCCGGAGCATCTCAACTTTGTCCCATTAATCACTCAATTTTTAGCTTGAAAAAAGCTATATCAAGGCAATAATAAAATATGTATAAAATAAACCTTTTATTAAGAACTGAAAGAAGGCTATCTTAATAAAATTTTGAAGTCTCAAATTTGTTTTAAATCTATCCTCGATAATTTACCACTGATTTGATTTTAGAAGTTTTTGTCGATAAACCGTTATTCTAACTTTTACAAACAAGACATTTAATAAAAAGATTTTTTTTTAGCCTATAAGTAATGAGATATGCACACAATGTTACACATTTTAATTTTTTTATACATATGCTTAGGGATGCGGTTATAAGAAAATGATATTAGTATATAATACCCAAGTATAACCGTATAATACAACGTAGGTAGGGAATTGCAGATAAAGCAATTTAATTGGCCTATTATTGGTATTATACCTATACTTATATGTATAATACTGGTATTATACTAGTATTATACCAATAGTATGGTATACCTAGGGTGGTTGGCAAGCTGGCGAGGCGAGCTTTTTTTTAGCTCAAGTATATTGCCACTATTTGGCGAGATAAAAAAAAGCTCGCCTCGTCAGCTTACCAACCACCCTAGGCAGTGTTGTACACGGACGATGTCCCGTGAAAATTTCAGGGACGCGGACAGTCCCGGACGATGTCCCATGTCCCGGACAATGTCTCACGTCCGTGATGATGTCCTATATCACGAAGTTTATCAAGCGTTCTCATTGGCTAAAAAGGACAATATTTAATTGTCCGGGACGTTAACATTTTGGCGGACATGTCCGGGACGTCCCGTCCCGGACTGTCCATTGTCCCTGTCCCATGACAACACTGGACCCTCGCATCTCTACATATGCTATTCTAAACGTGACAGTGCATACCCGTGTCTAAGACGCGTCTGACATCTTAGGTAGCGCACCACAAAATTGTTCCCCTGTAATTTTTACCGAGAATAAAACAACGTTGTAGTTGGGTTGGGTTAAGGTTAGGGTAGGGTAGGACAATGGAGTTTCTATTAGTAAACTTCACATTTAATTAGGCCGCAGGAGGTTGTTTCTAAAAATGGGGTTTCGATTGTTTACGTTACACCTGATCCTGGAATTTGATTGGTCAAAAATCAAGGTTCGCGTCTGACACAACAAAGTATATATACAAGTTCTTTTTAGGTTGTTGCCCTCTGAGAAACTTGACACGTACATACCTGGAAAAATAATATACTGCGGCCGCAAAAGATTTCTTAAAACCAAAAGATTTTAATATTTTAAGAGAAATGATGCGTTGTTTTTTCTTTTAAAAAAAAGTCTGCTAATTTCGGGGTGTGGAATTGGCTATGAAAATTTCTTTAAGAAAAAATTAATGCCAGTTGCTAAATGCTCCTTTACGTACGTAAATAGGTTGCTTCCGAACGAACGCGCGATGTAAATATTTTAAGAGTATTTGAAAGAAGCGCTTATCAGTTATCGATTATAAAAGCGTAAGGCTACTTATTTTGCATTTATATATTAGCTATAACATTATTTTTGACTATTCTTCTAGAAACAAGAAGTTATAATTAGTTCAGAACCAGATTTAAATTTTTTGTATTGTCGTTACCATTATGAAAATAAAGAATTTTATGTGGCTAATATAAAAAAATTGTTACAGTGCGGGACACCTAAAGGCAGAATTTATGAAATTTGTCCCATTTTCAAAAATTTCATATTGAAATTTGATGTCTTTGTGAATTCTTGCATTTTGATTGGCTAATAATTAATTTTTAAAAAATATTTTAAAATTAATTTTAAAATTAGCCAATAGCAGAAGGCAAAAACATGTGACTTGTCCCATTTTTGGCTAAACTTTTACGCATCATATAAAAATACTATACTTTTAAACCCATTAATTGAAAAAATATACATTTAATTTTGAAAAGTTAAGGCCGCTAAGTTGTAGCAAATTAGCTAAACTACAAAATAGGGGCCTATTTTATATTAAATATTATTAGCTTTTAAAGTTTGTGAAGCCTTTAGGTGTCCCGCACTGTAGCTTGTTGATCACATTTCGATAAATTGTTACGCATGTTATTTATTAAAAAATTAAAATTAAATCTTCGGATCAAATAGTATTAGTATTTTAATAATGTTTACTAATTTTACATGTCTAAAGATACTAATAACAAAACCGAAAGTATCTAAAGTATTTACAATTTAATATCAGAGCAAACAGATTATCTTTGCTGTATAACACATTTAAATAAATCTCGAATCATCTATACTTCTTTTTTTTCTGTTTCTTACTACGTGATTCAACTACGTATTCAGCTCCCTCTCTTTTTTTACTTTTAACTAGTATGTCCTCCTCAGACAAAGATAAATCCTCAGATTCTGATAAAGGTAGATTTGTTACCTTATTTAATAACTTTTTCTGACTATGAATATTTTGTGCTACGGACCGTGAAATCGAATTTTCATCAAATTGGATGCGATTTGAACTTTCAGCTATTGCATGATCTTGATAAGATGATAATGTTTTTTGAATATTAGTTTTGGTGTGCTGACCGCCTTCGGAGGTTAATGAGTTATATTCATGGCTTTCATTTGACTTCATTTTTGATTGAACGTTCAAAACGACCTTATTAGGTGGAGCAACATTTCCAATATGAGTAGTTCGATTATAACGAATTATTAAAGATGGTCCCGATCTAATTTTTCTAGGAAAGTTCCAACATAATGGCCCTCTATCTTCTTTGAATTTAGCATTAAGAAAACGTCTAACTGTCAGATCAGAGTCTCGCTCAGCAAGAAACTCGAAAAATTTTGCAACTTCTGGTTTTTGGTGTAAATCCAGTGCAATTAAAGCTTCTAATGCGGTAATACGAACATCGACATAATTGCCATATCTGCATATATAGAAAGGTCATAAATGGAAATAATTATAATAATTCTAAAAATAATTATACTAACCGTGCATGAATTATAAATTCTCTACCATCCAATGGGATTAATTGATTTAACATAAGATGCATGCGAACCTACGATTAAGAATATATATCTAGTTTAATAAATAAATGAAAAAATTAGAAACAGTTAATAAATCCAACTTACCTTAATAATTGCTACAACAATTAATGCCTGATATGAACCGAATAGTTCATGTCGACTAAAATATCTCTCTAATGTTTCTAAAGTTTCTTCTAAATAATCTCGAGATTGAGAAGCAAAATCAAAAACTTCTACATCAGCGGAACCTTCTTGTATTTGATCATCATCTGGAATAAAAGTGTTTCCCAGTGATTCAATGAGATTAGCGACGAAATAATCATCGGAATACTAGGATCAAATTTTAGTTAATGGTAAGTTATGAATAATATTAAATTTTTCTATCCCAAAAAAAAAAATAAATGCCTACTATATTTGTCTGATTATCGTTCCAACTCAAAAGAAAGAGTATAAATTCTTTTACATGCGATGGTGTATTTCCTGAATCTCGTGCGCATGAAAGCGCAAAAGGAATTGTCTTGATTAAAGTAACAATTCGATATTAATTTAACTAAACAATCTAATATTTAGATTAAGAAAAACTAGAGATACACTCACTCTTTGAACATAATATTCTTCCCAATCATTGAAATCATTTATCTTGGGAAAAAATCCTCCCTCACTCCGAGGTTCGCAATAATCAGTTTCGTATATTTTAATTAATTGGGTGATTCCAATAAAGTCTAAATCATTAGTCGCACACTGATTATTTGATAAACAAATATAGGTTAATAAATTTATTTATTTATATTATAAAGTACAAAAGTAGCTTACTAACTTTAGCCATTGCGAGAGCAGCATCCATTCGAATTCTATAATAGTATCGCCAATCACGAACTGTTCGCATAAGTGTAGTCGAACACGCACGAGATGGTTTATTAGATAATGCTTTTATAGCCTGTAGTACGAATTAGCTTCGATTTAATATTTTTATCACTGACACAACTATGACTAGCTGACATAATGTACGAAAAAAAAATATATAATAAAAATAATAAATGTACTAACCTCGTAATGAGCAATTACATCACGTGAAGATTCCAATAGTGCAGCCCACATGTAATCGTCTTGTTCGAAATCAATACTCGCAATCCAACTAAATGCATCATCAACTCGAATCCATTCCCATTGATCACTAATTACAGTAAAAGTGTTTAAATTTTGTAGGATATTGGAAGATATTAAAATACAATTTAATAACTAACCTAGTTGAACTATATTCCTGAACCCATTCTTGTATTTTCCAATCGGGGAGGTCTTCTGAATCAGATTCAGGATCCATTCCACACTGTAATGGGAAATCTCTTTGGTCTTCATCAAATACATTAGATGGTGGATGAGCTTCCAAAATATTTCTCTCACGGCGCATGTGTGATCTGACATTAAGTTTAGAGCGCTTGTATTTAGTGTGATAAAAGAGAGAATGGGATTCACGTTTTTCTTGGATATATATAGTATGTATATATTCCAATCCATCAGGTTCTTTAATTGCAATATCCATATGACCCTACCAACATATTAAAGTTTAATATTAGATCTTTATCTATTAAAAAAAAAAAAAACATAAAAAAAAATAATACCGAAAATCGAGGAGTATGTGTTGATTGCAATCCGCTCACACTATTAGGATTTGAAGCATTTGTATTTTCCTGTTCGAATTTAAACTCGACTACCAATTTTTTTCGATTAAAACTCGCACGTATTTTGAATTTTGGGCAGCCAGATCCATATATCCATTGTTTTTCAAATTTTTTAACTTCATTACGAAGTTCCTGGCGAATTACACTTTTACACGTTTCCAGAAATTCTTCTGTATGCAAAAAGCCAGGTCGCCTTCCCTCTTCTACATCTTCTTTGGCACCATTAAGAAAAAAATATATTATCCCTGGAATCCCACGACGATAATCAAGGAAAGTCATACGTTTATTAAGCATCCAGAGAACAAGAGGTGCTTTGAGATTTATAAATTCAATATCCTTTGATTGAAAAGGTAAGGGGATGTCTAATGAGCATAGAGGATAACGATTAACGTCAAGCTCACACACGAGTTCAATGTCCTAAAAATTAAAAACAACATGTTAAAATTTGTTAACATTTTTATATTTAAAAGTAAAGTCTAGATTAATTAACCTTTTTGCGCTGATAGCGTGATGCTGGAATTCCATATATTTTTTGAAAATACATGCTTGCCCAGAAATTAGATAATCCAGCCGCAAGCCAATAATCACGCCTAATTTATTATTAAATATAAAATTTTAATGAAATGTAGGTATATTACGTATTTCCAATTTTTAATAATTACCATGAGTAGGGAGGAATAAATATTCCAAACCACTGCTGGGTCAACGCAGCTATCAAGGCGCGCCTCGTCTTCTCCCTTTGATCAATAATGCTTTTATTGTATAAAATATTCAAACTAATGTATAATTAATAACATATTAACAAATTAATTAAATCAATGAAAAAATCAAACAACTTAACACATGTAGTCAGAAATAAACCAAAGTACATACCGACATATTAAAAGTCCAGCACATACATTCACTTCAGAATAAGAGTGATCAACGAAAACTATTTGAAGTCTTTTGAATGGGAACCTTCCAGGTTTTACAGTTGGATTATTTTTATCAAATTCGGGATGTAGATTAAATTTGGAATATTCTTCGATAAAATAATCCATTGCCTGTAATAAACTTGTTAATGTAAATAATAAAAACTACTTTAAAAACAGACATTTTAAAATGGTATAAAAATTATGACATACACGATGTAGCCAATAAGTATCTTCAGTAGGTTCATCGTCACCATCAGGGTATAAGGTAGGTATTAGCCAATTCTGCCATTCTTCAGAGATATAGGCAATTATTTTTGGCCTATTGAGTGGAAGAGCTTCTTGGGGATAATCCAGCACAAATGGATTAACAAAGGGACCACATACTACACCAATATATTGTGCTGGAATAGCAACTGACTGATTATAATGAAATGTTTTTTGATTTGGAGAAGTCGAAGAATTTGTCTAACAGATCAAAAATAAAATAAATAAATTATTACGTTATCAATTAATTTTTATTAAATAATTATGGAGAATTTTATTTACCATTTTAACAAGGTTCCCACTACAAACTACCATAATCGGATTGAAACCTTCAATATCTGATACAGTTATAAAGAAATCCCAACTACAACGATCACGAATACGATCGAGACATGGAAGCCAACACCTCGTTGCACCAGGCAGCGGACTATTAATGGTGAACATGTATGGATCACACTTTAAATAATGTGTAAAATTCAAGTCAATAAAGTAAAGAAAAAAAATTTTTTTAAAATAAAAAAATACAAATATGTACCTGGGACTTATATTTTTGTTTATCATCATCAGGAAGTTTAAAATGGACACCAGCCTTTGGTTTTTCTAGAATAAAATCTACACGAACAATAAGTGGAACCCACTCTTCGGCCTGAAACGCCACATAAGAAAGTAAGAACCCGATTGAACTTTAACAACAAACTTAAGTTCATCACTTGATGTTATAAATAAATAAAATAGTACATTAACTAGGACGTTTAATCAGAAGCCTTACTCACACCATTTATTATAGGAATGTCTGTTATTTCATCAGGGAGATGCACAGATATCTCACCCACAATTCCAGCATCTTCAGATTCATTTATCTCAAATTCAGCTAAAAAATCATTAATCTTTATACTGCTAATACCTGAAATAATTGAAATTCTTAATGTTATTTTTTGTTTGATCATTTTAATTATTATAGATGCACCTTAAAAATACCCACGACATTGCCGACAATGTAATCTTATAACATCAACATCAAATCTAAGTGGCTTAATACTAATCTCTGTGTATCCCTATATATAAGAGAATATTAAGTTTAATAATTTGATAACATTTTTAAACAAATTAGATTTGTGAACAAAAAATACCTTGATTATTTGATTTAATATATCAATCTGAACATCGACCTTTTGGTGCTATAATGTATATAACAAAAAAAAATAGATAAAAGGATGTATTATATTTAAACTTTTGGATTGCCGGTCAACGGCGTGACGTAAAGAAGTTTTATATAAAAGTAACCAAAGAAGTGTTTAAAGGATTTTGCACACACTTTGAAATATTTACAAAACAAAATTCCAAACTTCACCGATCTAGTGAATCAGTGAATTTTAAACATATCTTGATTTGTTGATTTACTTCGTATATGTCGAAGTAAACACAATACGCTGAGGCGAAACTTATATTCGCCTCCGTTGAAGAAAATGCTTAAAATTTTTGTATTTGGCAGAATTTAAACCTTCTAAGGTTATAGTACCTACCGAGTAAACATAGCCACGCTCTGCTGTTTCGTCATCGACATATGCCTTGAGTCGTGTAAAAAGATCAGTTTTCTTGGTCTCTAACATTGTAGATTATCGAACTTTAAACTCGAAAGAATTGTATTTACATAACAGTATGTATGGATTCAAATCAAGTATCACGTGGCAATGTGATTGTTTTACAATTTCCAGATTTCAGAATTATCTATATGTACGTACTGTACGTACTGTACGTACGTAGAATTTAGTTTATCGTTATTCAAAAAAAAAAGGGTTGATACGTACGTACGTATGTAGAGATTTTTTTTCTAAACGCGTTTACAAAATTTTGAGTATTTAAAGTTCTTTATGGGAATCGATTGTCATACGCTCCGCCTGCCTACAAGAATATTAAATGAAATATTCTGCCGGGGTTGTCGGTCCCTGTCAACCATTAAAATATAAGAGCCATTGGATATCATAGTCGGTTGGTAAAATACATTTTCTTTCATGTTTATTAATATATCATCAAAATTTTGTCTTGAATACGTAAAAGAATACGTATCCCAGAAAACGATTGCTTTAAATAGTTATATGCCGTACCCCAGATTCGAATCGTCCCGAGAATTGGGGACTTTAAGGTTAGGGTTAGGTTTAGAATAGAATAATTTTAGTTGTAAAAATTAAAAATCCTCATCCGGCCAGAAAAATTCCAATCCGGGGCACTACTACATCGATATGTTGATGCTTAACTTAGCGTTAGAGTCAATCGAAAGGATTTATGCGCAGCTACTACGTAAGATCCTAATATTCAAATAGATACAGTATAACCTAACTAGTTAATGTTTTTTTTTAGTACCCACGGGGTAGGAATTAGAATTAATCGCAGCATAATTATATATATATATATACTGTATGTATAGCTACTTTGCAAAACTGTTCTACAGTATCGGTATTACCATCCAAATTCATGATTAAGGCAATATGGAAATCAATAAATCATTAACAGCTTAAAGCTTTATCTATAAAGCTGTCTTTTGCGCACTAATAAAAAATTTTTCTTGAACAATTTTGGACATTCTCGTGCTTATTAAAATAAACATGTAAAAAATTTTAATAGTAATAATTTTAACAAACTTTTTTGTTCAAAATTATCTTTTTTTTTGCACTAATTTTATTATATACAATTGGTAAATATATACAGTAAATAATTAAAAAGCCCGGAGCTTAAACTTTCATACATATATAAATATTAATACTCGCCAAGCATTATGATCACGTTATTACTAATCAAAATTTTCAGAGGCGTTACATCCGGAAAATGCCAAAACTACGTTCCTGATATCTTTATTATGCGGTCTATATTTATTGAAATCCGAATTTTCTGTATCAAATTAAAATGTATAGATAAATTTATGTTTGATACTAATAATGATATAATTCAGCTAACCGTTAAAGTAAAAATGTAATACTGTATTTTCTACATGTTCTCGAACTACATATCGATATATTTTATGAATAACGCTGTAAAAATGAATCAACCACCAAAAATGCTGTGACGGGGTCCATGTCACTTGCCCTACAACAATTTGTCCGACAGCTATTTTTTTAGTAATATTTTTAAGAATATTATTAAAA